TGTGGAACTCTTGCATCTTTTTCGAACGAATGTGCGCGGCGCTAAAGCGAGATCCACAGTTTGAAAACCACCCGCCCTCAATCCGTGAAGCTCTTGCAAATGTTCAAAATGAGTGTACGCGGCGTTCAAACGAGAACCGCATTTTGGCAACGACCCGCCCTCCATCCGTGAAGCTCTTGCATCTATATATATATATATAGAATGTGCGCGGCGCTAAGGCGAGAGCCCAAGTTTGAAAACTACCCGCCCTCATCTGTGAATTTGTTGCCACTTTTTAAGCTTCAGTTTGGGCGACCCACAAGGGCGTCCAGCTGCAACGGAGTGGTGCAATAGATTTGCGGCAATTGTATTGCAAATGTATTGCGCCAGAGAATTGTAGTGCATTGCATTGCATCTCGTGTATTGCACGCGAAAGTCCAGCAATACATTTGCGCCCTGGAATGTACTGCACGCCCCAAAGGCATTACAACTCCGCAAATCGATGATTGCACCAAATCTATTGCACCACCCCCTTGTCGCTGGACCCCTTTTGGGCCAACTCGTTTCAAGGTCATAAATGGGGAGGAAGCCTCAGGCGAAACGCAGGACCCGCCCTAAAAACTGGCCTCGGGGTGCGACAGGGACAAGTTATTCATAAGGAATGGACGAGGAGGAGGAAGAGGAGGAGGAGGAGGAGAAGGAGGAGGAGGAGGAGAAGGACGAGGACGAGGAGGAGGAGGAGGAGGAGGAGAGGAGGAGGAGAGGGAGGAGGAGGAGGAGGAGGAGAAGGACGAGGAGGAGGAGGAGGGAGGAGGAAGGAGGAGGAGGAGGAGGAGGAGGAGGGGGAGGACGAGGATGAGGAGGAGGAGGAGGAGGAGAAGGTGGAGGAGGAGAGGAGGAGGAGGAGGAGGAGGAGAGGAGGAGAGGGGGAGGAGGAGGAGGAGAGAGGAGGAGGAGGAGGGAGGAGGAGGAGGAGGAGGAGGAGGAGGGAGAGGAGGAGGAGGAGGAGGAGAAGGAGGAGGAGAAGGAGGAGGAGGAGGAGGAGGAGGGAGGAGGAGGAGCGAGGGAGGAGGAGGCGCGAGACTGGAGGAGACGGCGGTGGGCCGCACCGCTGGCCCGGCCGCCCCCCCAGGGTCCATGGCTTCCCAGCCGCTCTCAACCACCAGCTGCACGACCTGCGCCACCAAGCACGCCGCGCGGATTCAGGGGCGCGGGGAGCTGCCGCCCCAGAGGGGGCGGGAGGAGGAGGAGGAGGAGGAGGAGGAGGAGTAGTATAAGGCTACGGCCGCGGAGGAGTACGAGGGCGACGAGGCGACAGAATGAGGAGCGAGGAGGAGGAGGCGGCGGAGGAGGAGGAGCGAGGAGATAGAGAAGTAAGGATGAGACGGAGAAGGAGACAGCGGAGGAGTATGGGAGAAGGAGGAAGAGAAGGAGGAAGGAGGAGGACCAGTGTAAACCCAAGACTAATCAACGATGTTGGAATACACCTCTGGCGGGAGCGGGCTCTGAACTTTGAACACAGATAACTACGGCGGGGGCACCGAAGAGGAATCATTGGATGAGGAATCCACGGTCTGGAAGCTGGTGGAGCGCCGAGTGAGGCCTGGCCATGGACACATCACCGCCGCCCTCGCCAGACGAGGAATATCCTGCATGGCCTGAAGCCTTCCTGGGCACACTCCTGAGCGAACGCCCCCACCGCAGCGTGTCACCGCACCTAATGGAGGCCCGTGGCGGTGCTGGGGGCCGCGTGGCACACGACAGGGGGTTGCTGGCAAGGCTGGGGCCGGGCTGCCTCCCGTATGGCCCCCTCGCCCGGGCCGCGCCTCGCCAGCGGAGGCACCCTCCGGGAGGCGACCCCCCGCGGGCATTTCCGAGGCCAAGGCTGGCGATTGCCTTCGCAGCGGGGGCGAGGCGGGGGTTCATCCGCAACCACCGCCTGGAGGGTCGATCTTCGTGCCTCGGCAGGCAGTGGAGCTGCACATCTTTGCCCTCCGCCCCCCCCCCCAGGCCCGAACACATCCACATCCGGGGGAGCAGCGGCAACGTCAGCGACACGCTGCCGTGGGGAACCCATCAGCGTGTGACTGTCGAAGAAAAGGCCAGCGTCTCGGACAAAAACGAAGAGCAACACGCCGACGGCGGCGTGCCATGGATGCTGTTTTTTTTTGGACGCCCGAAATGGGTACGGGAAAAATAGGTACAATGCCCAACAACAAAAGTTGTCCCAAACCAACAGCGGCCGTTGTTGGGCAGGCGGCCTTCTGTTTCGAATGGACACAGGCCGCGGCGGCGTGGACAGAGACTCCTGTTCAGAATGAACATGAACTGCTGTTGGGCATTGTACCCATTCTTTCCACACTCATTCCGTTCGTGCCGTTCTTCGCTCCCGAGTATCCGCCGCCTGACGAGGCCCCCGAAGAGGATCCTCAGAGAAAAGGCTGGGCGTTGCTCCAGCAATGGGGGCGCAGCGACGGGGGCGAAGGAACGTGCATCGTTCGGGTACCTCTCTAGAAGAAGGGACAACAACTGCATGCCCAGCCATCCAGCGGCTCCAATTTTCTTGGGTGCGTGGGCCTTGGAAGTCCGAACCACTTCCCTGGGACCGGTTTTTCGTCTTGAGTCGTTTCTTGACGCTCCCGAGGCCCGGCGAGGGCCCCCAGAGGCCGAACACTACCAATAACCGCCTGCTCCATTTTTTTTTGGAGCGTCGGATCTCAGGGTGCTGAGCATAATTTTTTGGCGCTCCGCGTGGATTTCTTGGATCTGCGCTGGGCCCCCCTTCCCTGGCGCGCGGAGCGCGCCCCGGGGCGGCGGAGGCGCCGCCGGGGAAGGGCCCCGCGCGGATCCGAGAACTCCGCGCGGAGCGCCAACAGTTTCTGTCTGTGGCGTGCTTTCTTCTTCGCCTCTCGGGCCCCCGGGGGCTTCTTGAGGGCCCCCAGGGGGGGTGCACAGGAGGTGCCCCTTGTCGCCCCGCCCGCACGCGACGGCCCCGCAGGGCGGAGGAGGACGAGGAGGAGGAGGAGGAGGAGGAGAGGAGGAGGAGGAGGAGGAGGAGGAGGCGGAGGAGGAGGAGGAGGAGAGGAGAAAGGAGGAAAAAGGAGGAGAGAGGAGGAGGAGGGAGGAGGGGGGAAGAGGAGGAGGAGGAGGGGAGGAGGAGGAGGAGGAAGAGGAGAGGAGGAGGAGGCAGGAGGAGAAGGAGGAGGAGGAGGAGGAGGAGGAGGAGGAGGAGGGGGAGGAAGAGGAGGAGGAGGAGGAGGAGGAGAGGCCCCCGCCTCGGCCAAGGCCAGGCGCCGAGGCGCGAGCTCCGAGGCGTTGCAGGATCCTTCGAGCTCCCGCGGGATCCTGCGCCCAGGCCCGGCTCCGTGCGAGCCTCGGCCCTGCAAGATCCTGCAAGATCGGGGCTCTGGCGGACCCCCGCTTGCATTGACCCCCGTCTCAAGGCCCCCGACTCGCCCCCGCTTGCATCGACCCCCGTCTTAAAGCCCCCGACTCGCCCCGCACTCTGCCCCGCCAGCCTGGGGTGCGACGGTGTGCGCCCCAGAGCCCGCGCGGCCCCGGCGCGGCTCCCTGGCGCGCCGGGGCCGCGCGGGCTCTGGCCTCTGGCCTCTGGCGGCTTCTGGCTGCGCCGCGACGCCGCGTCGGAAAAGAGTAGTTCAGGGCGAGGGGGCGAGGGGCCCCCCGTGGAAGCTGGGCGGCGGACCCCAGAGACCCTGGATCCAGAAATGCTGACGTCTCCCTTTGGCGTCCGCCGCCCTCCGCCGAATTTCCGCTGGCTGCCGCTGGCTTACTTCTGCTGGCTTCCGCCGCAAGCGAAGCCTCTTGCCGCCCCAAGCCTCTCCATGCGATATTTCCTAGCGGTCCAACATAAACTTGTCTGCGCCGGACCGGCTGGAAGCGCGTCGGCACGTCCTCGCCGATGTCGGAGTGGATCGCCTCCCACGCTCGACATATCCTGTCCTTTCCCCTCTCATTCACCTGGCCCTGACGATGATGATGCTGCTGATGATGATGCTGAGGATGATGATGGTGATGATGATGCTGATGATGATGACGACGACACCGCTGGCTACCATCAGAAATAGGATGGCCATGCGTCGCAGAAGCAGACGTCGAGGACTTTTGCCTGTTGTCTGTGTTGTCAGGCGAGTGCCCGTGGGTCCCCCAAGACCACGATGTACGCCAACCCACAGGTCCACTCAAGCGACGCGGATCGCAAGACGACGCAGGACGATCGGCCTTTGGAAGCACAATCTTCACTGGTGCCATTTCTCAGCCTCTCTCTCAAACACTTTTTGTTTCCTATCTCTATCTCTTTCGCTCTAGGTATTGCAAACTCTCTTCGCACAGCAAACATGGTTCCTTGAGGCATCACCGCGCAGGGACCCGAGTACCCAGAACCTCACATCGTCTAAATCATTATCACCATAGTCGTCGCCTTCTTCAAAAGCCGTGGCCATCATCATCACCAACATCATCACTACTGTCTATCTGAATTTGCACCAGTCTCACCATTATCATCACCACCACTATCATCATCAACATCAACGTCAACATCAGCATGAACATGAGCATGATCATGAGCATGAGCATGAGCATCAGCATCATCAGCATCAGCATCAGCATCAGCATCAGCATCAGCATCAGCATCAGCATCAGCATCACCATCACCATCACCATCACCATCATCACCATCATCATCATCATCATCATCATCATCATCATCATCATCATCATCATCATCATCATAATCGTCATCATCATCATCATCATCATCATCATCATCATCATCATCATCATCATCATCATCATCATCATCATCGTTAATCGCCGCCTCGCAAGCATCGACACGATCATGGCCAGGATCAGGATGACGATGCTCATCACCACCATCACGATCAGGATTATCATCGACTCCACTATCTCCCCTTCCTCCTCCTCCTCCTCCTCCTCCTCCTCCTCATCATCATCATCATCATCATCATCATCATCATCATCGTCATCTTGTCCAACATTCGTCGTTTTGAATGACGTCGTCGGCAGGCTGCTCCCCAAGCGCACGCCCGAAACTGTCTCTCTGCCAGGGCCTACGGCGCGCGGCCAATTGCGGCACCTGCGATTCACACCCGGCGCAGGGAAATCAGGCCCCGCCTATAGGATGGAGACCCAGACATGCGACGTCTTGATTTTTTCAGGACGGCGTCCCTGGAAGTCCCGACCCTTTCCCCGGGACCAATCTTTCCTCCTTTTTGTGACGGTCCCGAGACCCGGCGAGAGCCCCCCGTGGCCGAAAATAGCCAAAAACCTCCCGTCCTGATTTTTTCACGACGCCATCATTGTCTGGGGTGAAGTCGGGCTTGTCCCCCTACAGGGGGATTTTCGACGAAAAATAAAAAAATACCCCAACCATATTCCACAATGCTCAAACCTACTCAAAAAAAAGTCCCCAGAGACTGTGTTTGAATCTTCCTCCTGTAGAGGGACGGGCCCGACTTCAGTCTGGGGAGGCAATGCGGCTGCGCTCGTGGGGGGAACGTCGCAGGATAGTGCCCTACGTTGCCGGGGACGGCGCCCACCGCGGATCCACCGGCCACCGGAACGCCTGCGGAGGCTGCGTCGCCAGGAGCACGGCGGGCGCCCTCGGCGGGGGCGGCCGCGGCGACGGCGAGCGGCGCAGGCCCGCCGCCGCGGGCGGGGTGGCGCTGCCCCGCGCAGGGCTCCCTACCTGCAGGGGCCAGAGGACACACAAAGAAATACACACACACAAATAATTAACAGGATTCACCATACCTTCCTACATTTTCTGGGTTTTCGTCTTCCCCCCCACTTCCCATGTTTTCCTGCATTCTCCCGGGAGTCGACGACTCATTGTGCCTGCGCGTTTTTCCCCCCTCCGGATTACCCATATGCTGGTGGACAGCACCCCCGCGTGCCAGGCCCCCGGCGGCCAGTGCAGCAGGCACGGCGCCGTGCTCACGCCCGCCGGGGGCCGCGCGGGAGGGCTCGGCGTCCGGGCCAAGCTGGCCCTGCAGGACCAGCACGACCCCGGCACGGGCGCCGGGCTCCCCCGCGGCCGCAGCTGCGGCTGCGGGCAGCCGGCGAGCAGCGCGGCGGCGGGCGGCTCGCGGGCAGCGAGGCGGCGCGGCGGCAGCGAGCCGCGCCGGGGCGCCGGGCACAGCACGCGCCCCGGCGCGCCCGGCCAGGGGGCGCAGAGCGGCGGTGCCGCCGTCCGGCCGCGCCCCTCCTGTTCCCCCGAGCCGGGCGCCGGCGCGGGCTGCTCCGCCCACCGCAGCAGCTTCGGTGGCCCCGCGCCGCGGCACTGCCACTGCAGGCTGGGCACGGGCGACGGCTCCGAGTCCGGCTGCGCCGACGGGTCGCCGCGGCCCAGCTCCAGCGATGGGCCGTCAGCGTGGGCCTCCCACCTCGGCTCCGAGCTGTGCGGCTCCTCCGCCAGCTTTTCCCAGGAGGCGGCGCGCCCGCCGGCGCCCTGGGCGCACAGCGGCTGAGCCTCTGCCGCAGCCGGCGCCACGGCTCCGGCGCCTCCAGCGGCCACCGCGGCCTCGGCGGCCCGGCGGGCGGCTTCGGGCTCCTCGCGCTGGGGCCCAGGTCGTCGAGGACCGCGCTCGGCCTGCCCCGCGTCGCGCTGATGTCCCGCTTCCGGCCGCGGCGAGCCGAGGGGGGAGTCGAGGGGCGAAGGCGGGACGCCTACCGTGACGTGGTTCGAATACTCCGAGTACACGGGGCCTCCGCCGCCACGGACGTCCGCCCGCGCGCGGACGCTGAACTCATAGACGCGGCCCGGTGTGCAGCCGTCCAGCTGGCAGACCTGCTCGCGCACCGCCCCGCCGGGCGGCGGCGGCTGACAGGGGCACTCGTGGGTGCGGATCCGCAGGCGGCCCTGGGCGCCCTCCGACAGCTGCCTCACCTCGAAGACGACGCCGGACAGCGCGGCGCAGCCCGCCGCCAGCTGCTCCAGGAGGAGCTCGTCGTAGAACCACGTCAGCCGCACGCCTCTCGGCGGCAGGGCCCTCGCCAGCAGCTCCTCCGGCGCGCTCAGCCGCGCCGCGGCGCGGCCGGCCGGCGGGGCCGCGTCGCCGCCGGGCTGGGGGCGCGGGAGGCGCTGGCAGCCCGCGGTGCCGCCCGGCGCCATCCGTGGCGGCGCGGTGCCGCCGCTCGTGCGCCCCCGTCACCCCCGCGGGCGCGCTGCAGCCTCCATGTGCTGCGGGCTGGCCCCACGCGCCGGGGTGGGTTCGGCGGCCGGCCGGTGTGCGAGGCACGCTGCCGGAGCCGCCTGAGCCGCAGCACCACCACCATCATGACTCGTGGCTCCTGGGGGCCCCTGCTGCGAGAAGCAGGAGGCCGTCGTCACTCTTTGGCCCCTGGTGCTCTCAAGCGTAAGAGCTGCCGCCACTTGTTTCTCACCTTAGGCCCTGCACCGTCCTGTCTGTCATTTCCACCGTACATCTATATATATATATATATATATACACATACATACATACATACATACATACATACATACATACATACATACATACATACATACATACACACACACATACATACATACATACATACATACATACATACATACATACATACATACATATACATACAATACACATACACATACACATACACACCATACACATACACATACACATACACATACACATACACATACACATACACATACACATACACATACACATACACATACACATACACATACACATACACATACACATACATACATACATACATGCATACATACATACACATACACATATATCTGTTTGTGTATAAAAGTGTATATATGCATAGAAACCACGCTGCCGTCGGGGCGGAGGTTGTATAACGTCTTACTCTCTTCCCTCTGTCACAGTCCCTTCCCCCTACCCACCTGGGTCCGGACGGGGGCGCGCGACCCATTGGAGCGTCCAAGACGGCCCCACGAGGGCTTAAGATAGCTCGAGATGCCTCCAACTTGACCCACGATACTTCGCGACGACTCAATATAGCTTTCGGCATACCTCCGAGATGCTCCAAGACTGCCCTAAGTCAGTTACAACTGCCCTCCAGGACTTCCAAGGCACCCCCCAAGAGGCCAACATCCATCCAAAACGTAAGGCAGATGGACTTTTGCCTTCTCGCCTTTTCGCTCTCGACGGGCTTCTCTGAGGCCTTCAGATTGCCCAAGGGTGGCCCAAGAGAGGCCGAAGAGGGGCCCAAGAAGCTCCCAAGACGGCTCCAAGAGCGTCCAAGAGCGTCCCGAGAGGATTTTAGTGCGGTCTCCGAGGGGGGGGGGAACTCCAGTTATAAAGCCCTCCTCCTTTTTTAACCCTGGGGCCCGAGATCGCCCCGAGAGGGCGCCGAGATCCTCCCAAAGAGCCCCAAGAGGACCCCCAGAAGGGCCCAGAAGGCTTCCCAACTGGCGCCAAAATGGCGCCAATGACCTTTCAATGCCTCCCAACAGCTCGCGGAGCGAAACATCCGCGAAGACATTTCGAACTGACCCGTCGTTGTCGTCGTCGTCTCCATCCCGCCTGGGGGCATCGTTTCTAGATGTGCTGGTCGGGATTCGCGTAGCGTCTAGAATTGTTTCTTGTTGCTCTAAATTTGAGGAGTCTGTCTTAATCAATCTGTGACGTAGGTTTCGTGGCACCTGGTGTTCCTGAGCGTAAAACTGTTGCCACCTTTTGGCTCGCCTTGGGGGCGACCACCTTTGATGTTTCTATTCCGAGGCGGCTGTTGGAACCAGGAATCGGTCGACACTTGTGCGACCCGCGGCTCCAAACGTAGAACCACGGTCACTTCTTCCCTCGTGAGGCTCCAACGCACACATGTGCCGTCACCCTTTGGTTCACCTCAAGGGCCCCCGCTTCATTTTTCTAATCTGAGGCGGCTCTTACAACCAAAGAAGTGTCGTCACTATTCGGCCAACAAGGCTCCAAAGCGTAGAACTGTCGTCACTTTCACGATCATGGAGCTCCAATGCGTAAATCCGTCGTATTTTTTGGGCTCCTTTCAGGCCCCCCAGTCTTACGTTTTCACTCCGAGGCGGCTATCAGAACCAGAGAGCTGTCGTCACCTTTATGTTGCTGAGTCTCAAGAGCGTGGAGCTGTCGTCAATTTCAGGCTCCTAGGGCTCCAAAGCGTAGAACTACTGTCACTTTTGAAACCCGCGCGCGAGTGAGGGACAACGCACTGCAAATCACTAAAGTGCACAATGTCGTGCGAACGACTGGGAAACGCCGCCACAAACAACTGCCGTAACAAAGAACAAACTTCTTTCAGGGGCCCTGGGCCACCACGGTGGCAGGACTACAGATAATTACGCGCGTCTGTTTTGCTTGGATCCCTCGACTACATAGTAAAGCGTGAAGCGCAAGAGACGGCACCGTCTAAAACGATCGTCTAAAGAACTAACTACGGTAGCTAAACCGAACCACGTCACCATAACGTTGACCGGCCTCGGTGTTCGGGTTATGTCTCGGGTCTCCGGCGGCCCTTCGGGACGACCGGGGCTCCCCTGGAACGCCCTCTGCGAGGCCCAGCTGCTGGAAACCTGCTGGAACGTCGAGGATCGAGGAACTGACGAGACCGTCCGAAAAGACCCCTGGGCTCATGCTCCCCTAACATTGTCCCAGCAGCTGACTAAGCAGCACAACAAAGGAAAACATGTGTCGCCGCGCCGTTTGTTCTGAACGTGCCTTAAAGGACGACGCCGACACCGCAGCAAACCCACGGCAAACCCTGCGTCCCGCGCCCCAAGTAGACGAGGCCGGCACCGCGGCAAGCCCATGGCGAGCCCACCGCGCCCGAGGCGGCGTTTGCCCGACGTGCTAGAGGCAGAACAACTGCATAAACATAAACTTTTGGAGGTCCGCACGGCTTTCTTGATCTGGGCTGGAACCCCCTCCCTGGCGCGCAGAGCGCGCCAGGGGCGGCGCCGGAGGCGCTGCCAGGGGGCCCCAGCGCGGATACAAGAACTCCGCGTGGAGCGCCAACAATTTATGTTCACGAGTTTTTCTTCTTCGACGTAAGGTCGCGCGTTGGAACAAACGGCGAGGCGACATGTGCCGCCGGAGCAGTAGGCTAACTACGGCCGCCGGGCCTACCGAGCGCGCCACGCGCAGTCCCGTCGGCGCTGCGCCTGCACCTGCAGGCGGAGGCGCCGCACCATGTGGCAGCCCACCGTGGACGCCAGGGGCGGGTCCTCGCGCACCTCGCAGGGCCGCCGTGGTACCGAGTCCGCGATGAAGCACAGGGCAAACACGGTGCGAGACAGCATGTCGGCCTGCGACTGAGCATCGTTTCACCGATCCCCGTTCCCACTGGTGTGGCCAAATCCCCACGGGCCGACGCCGCCACCTGGATGGGGATGTATGCTGTTCCCTGCGGATTTCCAGGGGCCTATCCCCAACTGGAGGGGTGGTATGGTGGGGCTGAAGTACAGTGGCCCGGTGGGGATGGGGATCGGTGAGACGGTTGACTGGCCCACGGGGGGAGAACCGTCGACCGGGAGTCGGCGATACGTCGCCGATAGATCGGCGGTAGGCCACCGAAAGCGAACTTACGGAGGAGGATCAGGAGGAGGAGGAGGAGGAGGAGGAGGAGGAGGAGGAGGAGGAGGAGGAGGAGGAAGGAGGAGGAGGAGGAGGAGAGGAGGAGGAGGGAGGAGGGAGGAGGGAGGAGGGAGGAGGAGGAGGAGGATCAGGAGGAGGGAGGAGGAGGCGGAGGGAGGAGGAGGAGGCGGAGGAGGAGGATCGAGGAGGAGGAGGAGGAGGAGGAGGAGGAGGAGGAGGAGGAGGAGGAGGGAGGAGCGAAGGGGAGGAGGAGGATGAGGAGGAGGAGGAGGAGGAGGGAGGGAGGAGGGAGGAGGGAGGAGGAGGATGAGGAGGAGGGGAGGAGGAGGAGGAGGAGGAGGAGGAGGAGGAGAGGAGGAGGAGGAGGAGGAGGAGGAGGAGGAGGAGGAGGAGGAGGAGGAGGATATGTGACCACCGAAAGCGAACTTGCGCGCTCCTAGGCGGGGCGGGCTATCAGGACCCCATCGGCGATGACGGAGCGACGGGGGGTCGATGCGTCCAGCCCTGAGCTGTTCCACCCGTGACGTTGCCCCTGAGCCTGTGGGCTACAGTCGGGGGCTTGACCAAAGGAACCCAAAATAAGGAACGAGGCCCCTTCTTTCCAGGAGTTAAACTTCGATTTCCCGTCGAAAACATAAGGGAAACCTGAGGCAAGCTGCGAAACACTCAAGGAACGCGGAGCCCCTCCCCAACGAAAAGGGTTCCGTCTTCAGGGCCCCGACAGTACACGCAAGAGTGACCCTAGGCAAGAGTTGACTTCAGTGCGCGTGTTTTTTCTCGGGGGGGGGCGGGGGGCCAAACCCGAGCGGTCCAGCCACTGCTATCGCGTCGCATGCAGCCATCTGGGGGCCCCGGTGTGTCCGCGCCAAAGGTCACTCCTGCGAAAGGTCACTCGCTCTTCATGTAGTAGCCGGCGCTAGAAGAACAGACAACCGCATCCGCGCGGTTTTCCTGGATCTGCGCCAGAGTCCCCTCCCCGGCGTGCGGGGCGCGCCAGGGGCTGCGCTGCCAGGGGGAGGCCCAGCGCGGATCCAAAGAAACCCGCGCGGAGCTCCAAAAGTTCATGTTCTAATCGGGGCTGGCCTTCAGATTGCGGGTGAAGACGAGGGCCCTAGGCGCAGGGGGGCCCCTGCTGGCTCCCAAAGGGCCCCCCCCTTTGCTCCCCCCCCCCCTTTTGAGCCGCCCGCCCGAATCGTGCTGCTTTTTTGTTCTCCTCCTCCTCCTCCTCCTCCTCCTCCTCCTCCTCCTCGAGCCTGGGACGCCGGCACGTGCATGGGCGCCGCGCCCGGCGTGGCTGCGGCCGCCGCGCCGCTGCCCTGCGGCGGAGGGCCGCGCCGCCCGTCGCCGTGCCGGCCCTGCGGCTCCAGGCCGGCGCGGGCCGCGCCCGCCAGCAGCTGGCTGCGGCCGCGGCCGCCGCGCGCGGAGGCGGGCGGGGAGGGCACCGACTGGGCCCGCGCGGCGCCGCTGGGCGCCGGCGCCGAGGGCATCCCCTATGCGGGGGCTGGCTCGGAGGGGGGCGAAGTGAGGGCGGTGAGGTCGGGGAACAAACAACTGACAGAAACACATCAGCTCTCGGAGGTCCGCGCGGATTTCTCGGATCGGCGCCGGGCCCCCTGGCGGCGCCCCGGCGCCGCCCCTGGCGCGCTCCGCGCGCCAGAGAGGGGGGGCCTGGCGCAGATCCGAGAAATTCGCGAGGACCTCCGAGAGTTTGTGTTTATGCCATTGCTGGTTCTTGGATGGAGGAGACGTGCCCTGGGGAAGTTGCAGGCGAGAATGAGGTAGGCCCCTGGAGCCAAAGCTGCTACGGATAGAGCTGCCGTCTCGTTTTGCCTCCCTTTCGAGGCCACCATCTTTTGCTTCCAATCCGAATCGAGGCAACTGTTGGAATCAAAGAACTACCGTCATTTTTAAGCCCATGAGGCTCTTAGGCGTAGAACTGTTAGAACTATAGGTCCGTGAGACTCCAAAACATATAATTGTCGTCACTATTCGGCTCCTGAGGTTTCAAACCGTGAAACTGTATCCCTTAACGGGCGCCCGCCTATGCTTACAACCCGAGGCGGCTATCGGAACCATCGGAATGTTACTACTTTTGATACCTTGGGGCTCCGAGGCGTTGAACCGTCGTAACTCTAAGTTCCTGAGGCCCCAAAGCGCAAAACTGTTGTCTCTTGTCGTCGCCCATTAGGCCCCCCCGCCTCATGCTTCTGTTCCGAGGCGGCAATCGGCACCATAGAGCTGTCGTCACCTTCGAGCTCAAGATGGTCCAACACGTAGTAACGTTAACACTTTGTGGCTCACTTCAGGCCCCCCCCGCCTTCTGCTTCTGATATGAAGCGGCAGTTGGAACCAAAAAACAGTCGTCAAACATGGGGCACCTGAGGCTCGAACGCGCAATCCTGTCGTGACTTGTTGGCTCCTCTCAGGGATCCCCACTTCATGCTTTTCATCCGACGCGGCAATCCGAATGCTACAGCTATCATTACGTTTTGGCTCCTGAGGCTCCAAAGCTTAGACCAGCCGTCACGTTTTTTGGCTCCTGAGGCTTCCAACAGTAAAACTGTCTTCCTCGCCAAGCTTCTATGGTCACCCACCGCATGTTTTGAACGCGTGGTGGCGACGATCACTATCATACTAACCAATCTCTCCCTCCTCTCTCTCTATCTCTCGCTCGGTGTTTACATACGCACGCCGCGGCTCGGAGCTGCGACCGCGGGGGCAAGTGCGAGGCAGCCCCCCGGCGCCCTGCTGCCTCGCCGGGGCGCGCCGAACGTGCCGGGCTGCGCTGGGCGCGAGCGCCCCCTCCCATCCCGCCTCCCCCTCGCTCGCCCCGCCTCGCCGTCCCTGTGCCGTGCCGTGTGCTGGCTTGCAAATGCCTTGTCATGCTCTGCCATGCAGATTCGGCCGACTCCAGCACCGTGAGCTCAAGCATGCTGGCGCCTCGCCTTCGCGTCCGCCGCCCTCCGCCGAGCTTCCGCCCCGCCGCCCTTCTTTTGGGTCGGGCATGTCCTCCTACAGGCGGATGTCGGAGGAGAAACGAAACATGGTCAAATAATACCCGAAAGTGGTCAATAAATCATCAAAAGCCCGTCCACGGACTGTTCCTGGACTGCTTTGGAATCTTCTTCCTGTGGAGGGACATGCCCGACTTCAGCCTTTTGCTTCCGCCGGCCCGCCGCGGGCACCCGCCGCGGGGGCCGCGCGCATGCCCCCCGGAGGCGCGGCCCTCGCCGGAGAGCGCGCGCCGCGTCCTGCGCTGTCCCGTGTGCACCGCGGCTGCCCCGCGCTGCCGTGTTGCCTCGTCGTCGCCGCAGCCCGCCCAGCTCCGCTCGCCACGGGGCCTCCGAGACCGCCTCTGCTCCGAGGGCTCGCCGTGTGCGCGCGCGCGCGCCCGCGTGAGGCACGTGCTGCACGCGCCCGCCGCCAGGTCCCCGCGCCGGTCCGAGGCCGGTGGTGAGGAGGGGGGTGCGGAGGGGGAGGAACTCCCTGGCTGCCTCTGCCTCTCTCTCTCTCTCTCCATATATATATATATGTATATATATATATATATATCTCTCTCTCTCTCTCTCTCTCTCTCTCTCTCCCTCTCTGGCTGTGTCCCATCTCGGCCTGTGCGTGCACCGCTGCCTCTGTCTCTCTCTCTCTCTCTCTCTCTCTCTCTTTTTCTCGGCCAGCACGAATTTCCGATGTGCGCGTGGCGCAAACTGATCCCAACAGCATGGTCTAGCAAGCAACAAAGAGGGAGCGTTGCACGATTATGCGGCCAGCCAAGCGTCGAGCCAGGGATTCGTTGAAACGCTGAAAGTCAAACTGTGCACGCGTTCGAAGGCGTCTTATCAAGATCTACCTTCGCTACCTGTCGGGTTAACGATCTAACGAGAGGCAGTACGGAGAGGGAAATCTAGTTTACAAGAACACAAGTTGCTCAATGCGGCACACCAGTCTCAATCACATATTTGGAAGCCGTCCTTCGTGCAGCCCATATCACCAGTAGCTGCCTTGAGGGCCTCCCTGCACGAGGACCTTCCACCAACCACGACCGCCAGCACCTCGATGTCCGAAGCCGCTACCGAGGCAATTGTTCGGTCAGGAAACCGGATCTTATACGTCCCCTGCAGGCTGTTTGCCGTCAGCACGGTGGCGTACATCCCTGTGGGAGGAGGGGGGCGGGAAGTCTCAGAATCGCACGGGTCAAGTTCCTCGCGAAGGTTCCACCTGTGACAGGTGCCTTCGCGACAACAGAAAACGAGGAGGAGGAACAGCTGGGAAGGAGCAGCTGGGGAGGAGTAGCTGGGGAGGAGGAGCAGCAGCTTGGGAGGAGGAGGAGGAGGCGAGGCGGCGGAGGAGGAGGAGGAGGAGGAGGAGGAGGAGGAGGAGGAGGAGGAGGGAGGAGGAGGGAGGAGGAGGATGATGATGAGGAGGAGGAGCAGCAGCAGCAGCAGCAGCAGCAGCAGAAGGGGGACGACGATGAGGAAGAGGAGGGAGAGTATGAGGATGAGGAGAAGGGGGAGGACCTTCTGCAGTTTGTGAATGCCCCAAACGCCAACATAAGGAAGGCGGGGTGTGGCGCCACCCCTGACGGCACTGAGGTGCAGCGGAAGAAGGGGCAGACGGAGGCGGAGGGGGAGGAGGACCTGAACGAGGATGAGGAGGGTAGTAAGGACGGATGAACATCGCGATAAGAAGCATGATGAAGATGGGGGGGGTAGCGATGGGGGGCGGACCAGGGGGAGGAGGGGAAGCCTGCAGGAGGAGGGCAGGCACCAACCTCTCAGGATCAGGGGGTCTCTCCCCCTCTGGTTTTCGCGCTTCCTCTCCTCTCTCGCAGGTTCTGTGTTCTCCCTCCCTCTTTCTCTTTCTTGCTCTCATTCTCTCTCTCTCTCTCTCTCCCTCTCTTTCTCTCTGTGTGTCTCTATCTCTCCTTCTCTCACTTGGTATCGATTTGAGCAGAGGTTCGACATTTGACTCTGCGGCGAGATCGTTTGCACCATCAATGCGCCAAGAGCGTCGAGGGATGGCGCGGATACTACAACAACAGAGAGGAGGCGCAGGAGGAGACAAATGAGGGGTGGGAATGCTGGCGGGGATTCTCCTGGTACTGCTGAGAAATGGCAGTAACCGTC